CACCACATTCTTGATCTTGCTCTAGGACATGTGTTGGATTTCTTTTTTCCTATACAGTCACAGTCGCCTAACATTAACTACAAATTTATTGATGAGATTATGGAGCATTACGATGATTTAAAAAACCCCTACAAGGGCACAGCAGTGGTAGCAGAGTATGAGAACCTTGGCTGGAGAGATGACTTTTGACTGAAAATTTCCTTTTCAGCTTTGTGAAGCATACAAGTTTTACAAAAATGATGAAAAATGGCCTCGTATCAAATAGCACAAGCTGCCATCACTGCACAGTGCCAGGTGCAACTCAAGAGGCATTTTTGTGCTTATTGCATCTTTTATTCTTCCAAACTGACAAGAACAGCTGAGGATAACTTGCGATTTCGTTGCAACTACATGGTCGCGGGCCTGGTTTTCAAACCAGCACTATGCAGCACTAGGCGGCTTATGAAGACCTGCTGTCAGCAATATCCCAACTTAAGTGTTCCAAAGCTGTGAAATGCTTCTCTACCAACTGGAAAAAGGAACCATCAGTGCTTGATGTGCCTCGAACCAACATAGTAGCCGAGAGAGCTGTAAAGTTGATGGGGGACATTCGTTCTTCTTGCAGAACAAACAAATATCTTAACTGTAAATTTATTAATACTAATACACAAATCTGAAAGATTGTTAACATCACTACAAATGCTGTAGAACAGTGTATTTCTCATGTGTTTCTCATGTCTATTGTATATAAAGTTGACATATTATAATTAATAGCCTTTGGGCTGCTATGTGTTGTATGGTTAAATATGAAACTGTCTTAGGTACGGGAAGTTTTTTCAAGGTATGGTGAAATCAATGTCATTTCTGTGATTTATAGGCAAAAGTTCATCATTTAGAACCCCAGGCTAATTGATTTAAAATTTATCATATACCATATATATATATATATATATATATGTATATATATATATATATATATATATATATATATATATATATATATATATATATATATATATATATATATATATATATATATATATATATATATATATATATATATACATATATATATATATATATATATATATATATATATATATATATGTATAAAACGACTAAAAAGTTGCAAATTCTTCAAACATAACCTATTTGTCATAAGATTTGTCTGCTTTTTAAAACCTTTTTACCTTGATCATTTTATTTTTTATTTCAAAACAATTATCACTTTCATTAGCTGAAATAAAACACTCTAAAACCTGATAATTTTTAAACTGTAAACAGTGTTTTGATGGTAGCAATCAATGCAATGATTACCACCATAAATAAGAAGTACTAAACTTCTGTTTATCTTTTTGTATGTGTTTATTTGAGCAACCCTTTGGTACAAGCGTTTTTAATTGACCTGAAAAAGTTTCGTATTTGAACGAGGGACATCTTCCAAGTACTTAAAATTGAACTGTATTATTTCCTATATGTGCTAATGAATGGACATTGTAAACTAGTTGATCCTAACGATAACGTTCACCAATAAAACTTTACAAAATAAGTAGTTGACAAGCAAATTTGACATATTTTTTCAAAAAAATAAAACATTTTGAAATTAGAACTGCAAATTAAAGATCTAAAAAGTTTGAATAAATTTTTGGCTAAACCATTCCCTTTAAACAACTGGCCTAGTGTATACTAGAAATAAAGTATTGACTGTAATCTGAGACAATTTTTAGCAATACAGCATTTGGGCAATTTAACCATAAGTTAATGAGTCTTCACATACCCCTAAGCATACTAGATGCATAAAGTCTAAACAAAACTTTGTCACCATGTCAAAATTTAATTCAATTTAACACACCACTAAGATGTTAATAATGCCAAAAAATCTGAATCAGACAAAAAATCTGAATCAGAGCTTAAAATTAGTATAATATGTTTAGAAAATAAATATATAAAATCAAAAATTACAAATTTAATTATAATTTACAAATTTAGGTTCGTTGTCAATCATATTAAAAACTAGTCAATGGAGCAACACCTAAATAAAATAAACAAATAAAATAAAAAAATATCAAAACAAGGAAATAATAAAGAAAGTAAACTACATTAATACAAGAAATAAAAAAAGAAGTATAAGGAACAACAATATTAAAAAAGTTGGAATTAGAACAAAAATATAAAGGAGTAGCGCTAAGAAAAATGAAAAAAAAAAGAGAGAATGAATGGATGAGTTGAGTTAGAAAATATGTAAGAGAAAACCGAAAATTTATTCACATAAGTTCAGAAAGATAGAGTGACAAAACAATTTTTGCAGAAAAATATAAAATAGCAAAATAAAGGCAAATTTAAATAAAAAAATATATACATACACTACTATATACAATATTAAAGGCTATATTAAAGCCTATAAACAGTTTTGGAAAATTCCAATTCCGGAATAAAAAATTAAATTTTAAAAGAAGTTCAAAATTTTAATAAAATTTGCTATGAATATATCAAAGAATGGATAGTGAACTTTAGAGCATTGAATTGTTTCAAATGGACTCTTCTAAATAGAAAATTAAATGGAAAAAAGTTTCTTCAGCAGTCGAATTTGTAATGAAGGAAGTAAAAGATTTTGTTATTAATGACAATTTTCTCTTTGAAGAACTTCAAAGAGTAAATATATATTTAAATGAAGAAAAATTGAAGAAATGGATCAATGAGAAAATAGAACTTGACAAAAGATGGGTAGAAATCTTTCAGCATTTTAGGGTAGAAATTATCCCACATGAAAATTTAAAAGTTTTAATAGAAATTTCTTTATGTTGTCCAAGCACTAATGCTGCTGTTGAAAGGGTATTTTCACTAAGGAATGATTATTGGAGCGGTGAGAAGTTGCAACTTTCAGTAAAAACATTATCTGCTGTCATATCTGCAAAATGAAATTTGTTTGGATGTGGCTACATTATTAGACAAACATCCTCATTTAGCTAAAAAAAATCCGCTCTGAAGAAAAATATGTTTCTAAAAGAAAATAAAGTTTTTATTGTATTTTTATCTTTCTTTTTCACCTATGAAATACTTGCAAAGTGTACTCTCTGAACAAAAAATAGTTAGTCTTTTTAAGATAATTAAGAATGGAATTAGATTTTTGGGCACCGCTTTTTAAACAAATCTCTAAAAACCCAATTTGGGTCCCCTAATATTGTGAGTCCAGGCCTAGGCTCTGATGACAACATTTACAAATAGCAACAACTTTTGGCAAATTTTATTTAAAATTTTTTACATGTATGTTTAAATTTTGTCACTATATTAGATTTTTATTGAATAAATTCCTATATGTTTTTATATAAAATATTTATAAAGTATTATTTTATGATCTCTTTTACGATCAGCTATCAAGTTGATTAAACTGACTTGATCAGCTTCAGCTTTAATCTGAAGCTAATGAGTTTAAAGCTGAAGCTGAAATATCAGCTGCAAATCCTACTTTATAGACAACATAGTTTATGTGATGTATATACATTATAATAATACATGAGTTTTTTGTATACTTAAATACATATTTTTTTATTTTATAATACATTTTTTTTAAACATATTTTTTATAATAAATAATACTTAGAAAATATTGACTTTTGCCGAATTTTTTTTAGATAAACATATTATGTTTAACAAATTTGTTAAACTTTGTAAATTTATTTAAAAATAAAAATAAAAAAATTATTTTGTAATGGTAATAAATAAATGAAATTTTAAAACAACGTCTTTTTAATGGAGTTTCACAGTGAAAAAATACATTTAAAAAAAAAAATTTCTCTTTAATTACAATGTATGTATAATGTATACAAAAAATATAATGTTTACATGTTAAATTTTTAAATTTATTTCACGCACAATACGAATTATAAATGGCAACCATCGAGTAAGTTTTATTATGATTTTTTTAATTATTAGTTTAAACCTTTTGGGAACCTTATGGGAAACCCGTCAAATCCCCAGATTCTTTGGCCCTGATAAAAACCAGATAAAGCCCAAACGAGTAAATATGCTTAATTTTATTATCATATGGGACCCGTCTGGAAATCCAAACACTTACCCGTCAAAATCCCGTTCCCGTAAGCCCAGACAAAAACCCTACAGTACCTGACTGTCAATGTTGGCTGGGCGTCTTTTTTTTAATTTATCTACCTATCAAAGTGTAATCAATTGAGTCTAAAATATTTCTCAAATATATATTGAAAAAAAATATTTGAGACATATTTTAGTTAGGTTTCAAATTTAGATATAGTTACGTTACGTCTCACTTGGTTACACTTAAATAAAAAAAAAAAAAAAAAACAATTGAGACTGAATGTTGTAATTTAATATTTTTTTTTCATTGACAAAGTTACCAATTGTGACAAACCTTTTCTACAATAAAAATAAAATAAAAGATGATGATTAGTAATATGGCAGTAATAAACAAACATTTATTGCATTATCAAGTTTATTTAATATAGTACTTAATATTTAATTAAAAATTAGAGTAAAATTGTTACCAATTGTAAGCAATTGATGCGTAACTTTAAAATGTTATACGGGATTTTAATAGGCCATAACTTTTTTTTTTTTTTGCATTAAGGCTAATAGGGAATTTTGGTACTTTAGAGATGCCAATATGCGGAATATTAAACTATACACCTTAATGGTGATGATAAAATAATGGTTGCATGCATGCATACATGCAGCTTTTTTATAAAGAAATTTAATTTAAAAATAAGTATATATTTTTTGAAAATTAACTGTGAAACTTACAAATAACTTATTTACAAATTATTGCAAATAAATTATTTTTTTAATAATTAAAATTATCATTATTACAAACAAATAAAAATAAATTATTTTTATTTACTTTTCAAACAATTTCAGCGAAGTTTAATTCTTTTAAACTATCCCTCATCAAAAAACACAATGAAATAACTATACAATAACAAAAATATAAAAAATGAAATTGCAATACTTAAAAACATTTTATGAATAGAATATAGTATAACTATTTTTTACCATTCACTAGATAAAACTCGGTTTCAATCTCATTGGTTGGATTACAGTAAATATTACTATCATTTAAGCGCACATCCAAAAAGCAGTTTTGAGAATCATTATAAATCATTGAATATTTTAGGCCTAAAACAAAAAATGATTATTACAATTAAAAAAGTACTGGATTACCTTAATACAGAAAACTCAAACAAAAGCGCAAAGTCAAACTTAGATAACAAATGCAAAATAATTGACTAACAGACTCTATTTGGCTTTTTCTTATAAAAATGTCAATTAAAGCACCTCTGACCAGTCATCCTTCCTAATTTCCATATCAAAACTCCTGATTAAAAAATACTTTAGTAAACCAACCTTAAGATTAGAGTGTATACAGGTGAAAAAACTTTGACTTTTTTTAACTTCAAAGTGAGATTTTATTAAACTATATTTTCATTTTACTATAAAAAAATTATTTTTCATTATTAAATGTATAAATTCCATTTTGATCATAAAATTGGGTTTAGATGAGGAAAGAAAAATTGGTATAGATGAGAAAAGTTCTGTGACTAAAAAACAAGCCATTAAAAACTTTATTTTATAATAAAAAGTTTTTAATGATTTTTAATTTCGTAATGATGTTCTTGTAAAAAATCTATATCCAGTAAGAATGTTATAAAAAATATTTGTTATAATTTAGAGAAAATTTTGACACCAAATCATTTTAAAATTATTGAAAATGTTACGGAAAAATCAAAAAAACATCATTACCAAATTAAAAAGAAACATTTAAAGAAAAATTTTAAAAACTTTATAAAATGAGTTACAATTAACAAAAACAATAAAACGGATTGAGTAAAAATATAGTTAAGTCAGGAATTTTAAAATTATTACAAACTCAGTTAGACGAATCTAACTGAGTTAAATTTGTCAAACTCAGTTTGACAAATTTAGAAACACTCAGAAACTGAGTTTGCGATAAATTGTAATTTATCCACAACAAATCTCCTGAATCTTGGACCAAATTTTGCACTGCAGTTTAGAAAGTTACCTTATATGGAAATTTTAACCCCAATCGAGTCTTTTGCTTTACGTTTGAAAAAAGATGATGCAGAAAAGATTCGATAAAACGTTAGTAAAATTCTTATTAAAAACATAAAACCTAGATTACCCGATAATTTAACTAAAGAACAAAGATTATCTTTAAATAATTTGAAGAAAAAAATGAATGGTTTAGCAGTTTATCCATTTGATAAAGGAACAGGATTTGTAGTAATAAATGAGGTGGATGCATTTTCTAAATTAGAAGAGTAAATCAAACATTCAGTAACTATCAACTATGACCCGACTCGAAATCTTATGACTAAATTCCAGAAATTATTATGCAAATTACAAAAACAAAAAAAGTTAGATAACAAGACTTTTTTTCAAATGTACTCATCTGACTGCGTCCCTCCACATTTATACGGAGTCATAAAAGCTCACTAACCAGAAAAGAATTATCCAATGCAACCAGTCATTTCTACTATAGATACCCCTCATATGGATCATCAGAGAATCTTGTAAAAATTATACAACCAACTTTAAACAAAAATAAAACAAGATTCTTAAACTCCTCCTTGTTTGTCAACAAAGCAAAACCTTGGTTAATTGATCCTAGTGAAATTCAAATCTTTTTTGATGTGGTGGCGTTATTTCCCTCGATTCCAATTGACAGAGCAATTCCTGTGATTATAGATATTTTAAATGATATTGACAACCTTAAAAAAAGAACCAAATTAACTCTTAGTGTTATACATGAAATGATCGAACTCTGCCACAACCAATATTATTTTTTATACAAAAATGAAAAAAGATCTATACCAAATTTAAGACCTATAGGATTAATGGCTGTAGTTGCTGAGGCATTTTTGAAGCATTTGGAAACATAAGCTCTTATGTTTCCAAATGCTTCAAAACTCACATGCTCTTGTGGCAGTACACATTGGCAAAACAAAAAAATAAAATTTTAACGAGATGCATTGGACATCAAAAAAAATATTTAAAAAGTAAATGGGATGCACCTGGTGCAAATGAACACGGTAGAGAACGTAATGGTATGTTTGATTGGTCAAATCGTAAAACTCTAGCAATAAAATCAGAATACGATGAACGTTAAGTTAGAGAATCACTTGAAATTAATTACGCCTCAACATACCAGGAAATAAATCATGTTCCTATACTTCTCAACTGTGACAATGGCATTAAAATTTCTACAAACAGTTGGAGACCCTTTTTTAAAAAATTACCCAAAAAAACAAATTTAGATAATATTTGCTAATTATATATTTACGTTGTTACGTAGCATTTATGGCTTCTTTTTAATGTCTTCTTTGACGTTTTTATTTAATGTTTGTAACGGTTTTTTATATTATATTTTAAGTCTGATGACAATCTGTGCAAAAACAGGTCGAAATATTACAAAGAAAAAATTTAATTTGTAGGCAGCTGTTGTTTTATGCTTTATATTATATATATATATATATATATATATATATATATATATATATATATATATATATATATATATATATATATATATATATATATATATATATATATATATATATATATATATATAAATATATATATATAAATATATATATATATATATATATATATATATATATATATATATATATATATATATATATATATATATATATATATATATATATATATATAAATTCCATTTGTTTAACCATAACATATAAAATTTACAATAACATAAATTCACATAAATAAGGTTAGGTGTCACTCATATAGTTAAAAATTAGTCGATAGAGTGGCACCTAAAAAAAAAAAAAAAAAAAAAAGGAAAGAAAAGAAAATAAAGCACTAATAAATAAAGATAATATTAATAATTGCAATAATAGTATAATAAAGATCCTAATGGAGGAAATGTCATAATTCTTATACCATCTGACAAAAGAAAAAGTCCATAGCATTAAATTAAAAAAAAAATTATTTATCATTTAAAAATCTTTAAAAAAAAATACATTTTGCTCGATGCTAGGTAAGCCACTGCCATCTTCAAGATTTAATAAGAGTCACCCTGGAATTTTTTCTTATACAATAAATATATAGACTTAAGGAAAAATAAACTTTCAAAAGTTGATAATCATTTAGCGATATCAATTTAAGTAAACTTGTGATCACATAATTTAGGGACGAGGGCCATTATAATTTATAATATCAAAACCTAATAATTACAATAACAAAGTCATAGTTTGCGGTAATTTTTGTTTTAACTGAACTGAAATGGATTGTTGTTTTTTTATATTTTTGTTTTACACTAGAAATAATGTATCATGTGAACAAACTATAACTTAATATAAGTTATAGTTTATTATTATAGTACTTATTACTAACTTATCATTTTATTTTTAAAATTATTTTTAGCAAACAAATTTAAATAAATTTGTTTGCTAAAAATAATTTTTGCTTTTAAATAAATTTTTTTAACAGTTGTTTTTTCTTCATTGAATTAAGCAATCTTTCGATATTTAAATTTCGATATTTAAATGCAATATGTGAAGAGTTGTTTGGATATTAAATTTGTGATATTGTGATGTGTTATTGAGAAGTTAAGTTTGTAATCTTGCGATGTTTTGATTAGAATGTATATAGTAACCGAACTTATGAGATGGTTTTGTATGTTAGGCCAAACTAGCTGTTCTCATTTGAAACAAAATATCTAATGCTAGTTTTTATTTTTATTATTATATTTTTACAATATAAATTAAAAATATAGTTGTCTGTATAATTCAGAATGAAAAAATTTTTAAAACGTTTATTTATGCCTAAGAATGCTTAAGGCTGTCAAGTTAATTTATGCCTAAGAATGCTTAAGGCTGTCAAGTGATCAAACTTAGGTGACAAGTGATCAAACTCAATGCTCAAGTGATCAAACTTAGGCGATTTTACAGTGTATACACACACACACACACTAGATTTTACTATCAAATAATGAATAATCTAAATAAAGGATTTAATTTAAATTATAAAGAAAGAAAAATTTTTAATTATCCTTTGAAAATATTCTAAATTAAAATGACATTGAAGAAAGTGTATTTAGCCATTAAAAAATTTTTAAATTTTTCTAGCCCTTCTTAAAACAAGTTTGCAGAACATTATCAGAAACATTGTTTTAAGACTCTAAAAACAGTGTTAAAAAAATGTGTGCGCAGAATAAATCAAACTTTCTCAAAACCACATTTCAAATTACCATTTTGTGGTGCTTTAATGAAGTTTATTTTATAAAATATAAAAACTTTATTGATTTCTTTTTAGAATTGAAAATAAAATGTAATATTACTAAAAAAAACATGAAAAAAATCACATAATCAACAAAAATTATTAAAATAAGATCTATATAAACTATAATTCAAAATCAGCAAAAACAGAATGTAATATTGAACTCTGGAGATTAAAAAAACGTTATCTTCGACAGATTTAAACTGAAGGCATTTTTTGGTTCTCTTTCACAAAATGGTTTGATGATAGTTGATTTTAAACCTGCTTCACCTTGGCATGATACTTTACTGCATGTAGATTATAAAAAGTTAAGACAAAAAGAGCATTCTCAAAGTTTAGTTGCAGCACAAACATTATAGCCGCTTGTATATTCTTCCTTACATTTATAAAATGCCTTGATTTGCTGTTGTTGGTTGGATTTCTTTTCTTAATTAGCTGGCTTTTTATTGACTGTCTTTCTTGATTGATAAACTTGGGTAACTCTAACATTTCCCTTGTTCACAGTGTTACTTTGGTTACAGGCAATAAATTAGGTATTTCTTCAATTGAAATTGATTTATCAAAGGTTGTTTGATAAATTTTGATGACACTTTTATGTTTCCAATATCTTACTGAGTCATAATAAACATCTTTTGGAGATAAAATTGTTATTGTTGTTGATAATTAATTGTTTTCAGTATTTTTATTAATAGACAGCTCGACTCATAATAACTTAACTTCCTTCATCCACTCAACACAGAGTTCTCCACTTAAAATCCCAACTTTTTTACCTGCATTTATAATTGTTTGTTTTGATAACCACTGGGGCCAGAACCCTTCAAGTATATTAACAAAACCTTCCATGTTGATCATCATAAACCAAAAATTAAGATTTATCACTTCTGTACCCAGAGTACAATTTCAGATTGATTTGGTCAATGAGCTGGGTAATGCTAAATGTTCCAGGTGGAGTGATGAAATATTAAACGTTTTTCCTTTTTAGAAATGTCAATAAAGTTAAATCTTGAAGAATGACCATTAGATAGGACAACAACAGACTGTTTTATATTGTTTTTTTCTAAATAGTGGTGGAACTTTTGACATGAACATAAAAGTGAATTGTGATCTTGGCTGTCACTGTCAATTTAGGATATTTGAAACCTAATTGTTTAACTGCTTATTTTGAAGCCAAGTGGGCACTAATCCTCTTTCCCTTAAATATGATGTAGCAATGTGCACATCATTCTCCAAAAAAAAAAAAGTTGTATATTTACACATTCCCTATTTTCTCTTATCTTTTGACAACTTTCCCTTTTACCAGTATAAACTAAACTATTTGGAGTACTATAAACACTATAGTTTAGTAAGGAGGAGAAGGGGGGTCATTATAATTGTAAAGTCTAGTGGTATCATATCTCCCTACCATACACCTGTTCCTAATTAATTTACATCAATGAAAATATTACTTTTTAAAAGTTCTTCAGCTAACTCATCAAGATGAGACCACAGAGGTTTTTAAAGGTTTGCTTTCTTACTCCAAAAATATCCAACATTGACTTTGTCTACTCTGATTTATTTAAACCTTGGAGGCATCTAAATAAACTATTGAAATATCAAAAAACTAAATACTACAAGTTTATTTTTCTTAATGCAATAACTGCAAAAAACAGATTTTATTCCATTTAACTTGAACAGTTTATAAGAAAATAGTTTTATTTCTCAATCACGTGTTTTACCTATTTTTTTTTTTTATATAACAGACTAGCAACTCTTCCTCATTTTCCATAAAAACTAAGCAAAATGTCGTTTTCAAATGTTCTTAGATCTTTAACTAGTGGAAATTTTTTAAATTGATTGGGACCCAACCACATTTACTGCTGACGCCACTCAACTGCTTATTTTTCATCTCTATGACATCTCTTAGAACATTTCATTTTGATTTGTTAGTTGGTTTAACTCTAAGATAAAAAGACTTTTCCATTTCTTATTTATTCACAACTTCAAATGAATATCAAAACACACTATCGTACTTGCACTTTACATTAGTACAATTTAACTTTCAAAGCAATCAAAAAAAAAAAGCATACTTTAAAACAAAGAAAAACAGATTTACATATGTTTCAAAGCAAACAAAGAAAACAGACTAAAGTATGTTTCAAATAAGGTTTAAAATTAGAACTATACAGTAGTATTGTAGACGGAATATTTATTTAACAACATCAAGAAAAAATCTAATAAAAAGAACTTTTTTTTAAAATTAAGTTTAATTCACTTAGCATTCTGAGGCTCCAAATCCTATTATTCTGAGGCTCCATATTCTATCATTTTGTAATGAAATATAAAAAGTAAAAAGGGAACCATAGATATAATGAAAAAATAATTAAAAAATCCTTTTATGCATAAATAATAATTTTCTAATTGAAAGCAAAACAACCTAAAAAAATATATCCTAAATATTTATTTAAAGTCATATAAAAATGGTACCCCATTTTTATATAGCTGTCTAATTTTTTTTTTCTACCATGATCTTAAAAAACACCTTTCATTCTGAGGTCAAATCATTTTCTACCTATCATTTTTTATCTATATACCTAGCATTTTCTATCTATTCTTCTACAATTAATATTTTGAGTATAACTAACTATATAAATTCTGGAAATATTTAATATTTGTAAAAAAATGAGTTTATAAAAAAATTTTATTTAAAATTAGTCAAAAAAATTTTTTTATGTTATTTTAAATATGCACCAGTACTTACCAGATTGAGGTTGTCCAAAAGGAATGCTGGTTGCACTAACTAAACAAAAAAAAAAAAACTTTTATTCATTTTATAGACAAAAACAAAGCTGTCTATATAATATGTCTGTATATACATTTGAAAATCATAAAAAGAGGAAAATAACAAACATAAAAATTTAATAATAATTTTATGGCATTTTTTTAATAAAATTATTATACTAATTTTTTAAGAATTCAAATACATGTTTCAAAAATGTATAGAAAACTAAGGTTACCATAAATTAGATTTGCATCAATGAAAAAAGAATTTTAAAAATTTCAATTTTTAAATTTTTTGAAACTTTTTTTAGTAGTTTTTTTAGTTACTTTCTTTAATTTAAATTGCATTAAGTAATTTAGTAATAGATGCCATCAACAAGATGACCATTATGCAATGGTCAACTTGTTGATGGCATCTGTTGCTTCGCTGACTACATTTAATGCAATTTAATTCAAAAAAGTAAATCACACAAAAATTTGTTCTAAAAAAATTATAGACATTCAGGTTAAAAAAAAACATATTCCAAATATAAAGGTAAAAAAAAAACTTCAGGATCTTTAAATTGGTATTATGTAGGAACATCCACATAAGTAGTATGTAGCAATATTTTTTGTTTAAATATATTGTGTTCTTAGATTAACAGGGAAGGTTTCGTGAATATAATTGCAGGGTTATGGTTATCAAAACAAACAATTACACATTTTGTGGTTATCAAAACAAACAATTACACATTTTGTAGCATGTTATAATAAGTTATGACATCATTGGTTATTTCATCTAAAAAAGTTTTTTAAATCTGGCTTTATAATTAATTCACAATATTTCTGGTTCTTACTTGTCTTCTGGACTTATTGCATCATTTAAAAGGTTTTTTATAACCCTGACAAATGTCTAGATATAACCCTGTTTTGTTTTTTTAAAATTTAGTTTTGTCTCCATCTTTTTACTTTTGAAAAAAAATATATAAAATTAAATTTTGATATATTATGTTGAATATTCAAATATTTATCAGATATTTATAAAAATGTATGTCAATTATTTTAATAATTTTCCAAAATTTTTACAATAACTGCCCTACATATTTATAAATATTATATTTTTATAAAACATAATATCTTGTAAAAAAATATTTTTTTTAACCTTAATTTAGAAGGTTTAATTAGATAATCCAGAAGTATTAGTATTCCTAAATCATCCTAAAAATCACTACATCATTATTTTACTTAATATTTTACACAATTGAAGATAATATTAAATGAATTATCCAATTCAAAAATACTGTTTCAATTATCTTAAAATATTTTATATTTTTAATACATTAAATCTAAATAAACCAAAAAAATCAACAGTAAAAACTGAGAGAAAATTCCACATTAAAGATTTAAAAAATCAAAAATACTATAAAGTGCCTAAAGTGATGCAAGCAACAAAATAAGATGGTTTACATTGAGTAAACTAATATTTAATTTAATATAATTTAATAATGATATCAGTAGATCTAATTGAAATATAATTAAAAAAAAAAAAGCAAACATTCTGATACTTTCAAAAACACAAAACAATACAAGAATTAGTATCAAAATATTTTTAAATGCTATTCAAAAAAAAAAAAAACTTAATGCAACTTATGCAAGCTTAAAATTCAGATACATGTAATTAATTACTAATTATTGATTAAATAATAAAAATATGAGTTTTTTTACTATATATATATATATATATATATATAAGTAAATATATACTTAGATCTTGTTTCTGAATGTCGTTTCTAGACAAATTCTTCAATAATAATAGATTTAAGAAAAACACACACTATTTTTTTTTTTTTTTTTTTATGAAATTCACTAGAGAGAGTTTTTTATTCATTTTTTTATTAACTAATTTTTTTTCATTTATTTAAAAAAAAACTAAATGTTTAGTTCTAATTACTTACTTGATTTTTAGGAATCTTTTTAATATTTTTAGATATTTTGTTTTTTGATTTTTTCAAGCAAAAAACTTTAACTATTCAATTAAATTTTTTGGATTGACTGTTATATTGCATATAACTTCAAATGATAAGCTTCTCGCAATATGGTAATTTACTTTACAAGATGTTCAATTTATTAAATGTTTTGTTTTTTGTTTTTTTCTTTGTTTGTAAATTAAATGTTTTAATAATATGATAACATGTAAAACAATACAAAAATAAGCCTTTAGTTTAACAATTTTAAAAAACATACCAATAAATATAAATACTAATTTAAATGAATATTAAACATAATAAACATAAGGAAGATAAAAAAATTTACTTTAGCTAAAAACAAAAATTACCTACCAAAAAACGGTAGTCAAAAATTATGTGGTAAAAACTATGAATAAGTTGTTACCACATAATTTTTGCTGATATATAAGCGCATAAAATGATTACATTATCAAACGGAACAAAATTCTCATCTTTAAGAAAATGGCTCTTACTCACTGTGCCCCTCGATGCACTGTATCCAAACTTCTCCTTTATTTCTCATAAATAATAAATAAGCAAAAAAACAACTAATAAACAAAATTATAAAAAATATAAGCATAATAAGACAAATAGTTCAAACGTTTTTTCAATACTGTTGTAATGAGTAATATTAAAAAAAACAAGGTCTCTCTTATGTTCTAATTATCAATTTGTTGCCACAAAATCCAAGCAGCATCAATGGAAATTCCCCATAGAAACTGTCATTAATATTACATTTGATAAGATATCAATTAATAGGTCATGGCAAAAAGGATGAACTTAAACAAAATTCATCAGATTTACATCAGTATCTAGTATCACTGGCTTTAAAGCTTATATTTTGCTTGTGCTCTCTATTAGATGGTTCAGATCATGTTGTGATCTTACTAAAACTAGTACTTGAGAACGAAAGCATTTTTATCACTGAAAGTTGATACAAAAATTTATTATTTGATAATAAGAAACATTATTATAAAATTACTAAATCTTGCTTTTTATCTTAAAAATTCAAAAAACTTTTGACACATCTTTAATAGTGTCATAAATAAAGACAAGTCTTACAGCCAATCTCTCATACAATCTCTCATTCTAATCTATCTCTTAAACCAATCTCTCATACATGGGTCTATTTTTATTAACTCTTTCAAAGATAAAGCAGAACTATTTGCATTGAATTTTTTTCTATGTAAATAAAAACGCACTTCTACTGGTATTTGAAGGTTTTAACAGGAGATGGTAAATTACAGATCAAAAGTCCAAAATCACATTTTGATAATAATGGATTAGTTTTGATTTTATTGTATAGTTGTTTTACAACTTTAATTAAAAATTATTTTATAATTCTTAGTATAATAATAATAAAAATACCAACAGTCTATTGTTGGTATTAGTAAAAGATTCTATTTTAATTTTTAGCCGTTTTATATATACTTAGGTTGTTAGAGAAGTTTGTAGAACTTCATCTATAAAGTTACAATAAGACAGGAAATAATTAAATATTTATATATCATCTTCAAATGTGTTTAATTATGAACATTTTAAGTACTTGTTGAAATATTTTGAATGTTTATTTAAAGAGTTATTTAAATTTTATTATAAACGTTTGAAAGAAAAAATTTAAAAATGGAAAAACTTGAATATCGAGCATATATTAAAACCCATGCTCTACTTGGAGTTTCAGCACAAGCCATAACCAATCAATTGGTTTTAGTTCATGGTGACCAAGCTCCAAAATATAGTACAGTTGCCAAGTGGGCTACTTTATTTAAAGATGGTAGAGAGAGTCTTGAAGATGATCCTCGCTCAGGGCACCCTAAAACCACATATACAGCTGAAAATATTGAACGTGTGCGAGCCATTATTGAAAAAAATTTGTATGCAACACATGTAATAATTGAAACCTTGACATCAATTAATCGTTTTAAAATTAACGAAATCATTCACAACGTGCTTAAAAAATGAAAACTAAAATCACGTTGGATACCCCACGAGTTAACCGATCAAAATTGAAAGAATAGAGTTGAGGCATGTAAGAAAAAATCAGCCCTGTTTAAAAACGGCCCATGGATGTTATGTGATATTGTTACAGGGGATGAGTTGTGGTTTTATTTGAGACAAGTTGGACACAAGTCAGCTAACGCTGTTGGGTCAGTGAAAGTAAGAGTTCAAGAACTATAGTTAGATGTGATAGATTTCAGCCGAAAAGCATGTTCTACATCTTCAAAACAACAACTGTTGTTTATTTGGGTTATGTTGAAAAGGGAGACACCATTACTAGTAAATATTATATGAAAAAATATGCGAAATAAATAAGCAAAGACCTAAAACAGACACTCACAATTTCAAATTTTTTCATGATAATGCTCAACCCCATGTAACTCAAACCTTCACAAATTGCCTAAACCAAGCTGGAATTACAATAATTCGCTAGTTACCATACTCACCAGACTTAGCTCCATCCGATTATTGGCTATTCGACTTGATAAAAAAAAGTCTTGATGACAATACTGACATTTAAAGCCAAAAAACCCCCATAACAAAGCTATTTGAAAGTATACCCAAAGAAGAGTATAAAAAAACGTTTTACAAATGGCTTGAAAGGATTTAACTTTGTATAGATAATGATGGACATTATTTTGAACATTTAACAAAATAAAATTAAAAAAAAACTTTTTATTTTTTTTTTTAGGGGAATTCTACGAACTTTCCTAACAACCTAAGTATTTATGAAATATACTCGGAATGTTAGGAAGGATTTATAATTAAATACATTTTACGTTTAAATCAATTTTGTTTTATCTTTAGAAATGTTAGGAAGGATTGAAAATTACATTTGAACTGATCTATTAAAGTTATTTTATGATGTATTAAAACTGTACCTATCAAATAAATATGATGCAATTATATTCATTACATGATATTGTTGTATTACAATATGATGATGTATTAAAACCCTACCCATATAGTGAATATGATGCAATATCATTAAAGTTGAAATATATTATTCACATCAAAAAAAACTTAAGCACTAATTTCAAGCCAAGACTCTTTTTGACAATAATAAAGTATTTTATGTACTTAAACTGTATAAATATGAATAACAAAAGTATATATATATACATATATATATATATATATATATATATATATATATATATATATATATATATATATATATATATATATATATATATATATATATATATATATATATATATATATATATATATATATATATATATATATATATATATATATATTTATATATATATATATATATATAGATAGATAGATAGATAGATAGATAGATAGATAGATAATATTAAAACTTTAGTATCTGGATATAGTTATATCTTAAAATTTCAGTATATTATATTTATTTAGTATATAAAATTTTCTTAGTAAAAAATATTTTTCAGTAATAACAATTCTGCACATTTTTTTACATCATAAAAATCTAATAAATTTATTACTGGATAAGAAAATGAAAATAGATATCTCTGTTTTATGGTTGTATGGGATGGCTAAAAATTTTCAAAACAGTTATTCTGTTTCCTAAATAACATGAGAAAAATGTCAATTTCATATTAAAAAAGAATACTCCGTGTTAAAAATGTAAAATCCATTTTGGATGTAAAATTATTTCTGAATCTGGTTGGATCAATGTCATCCAACCAGATTCAGAAATGAGTACAGTCCTAGATTATCTAATAAATGCCCATTAAAATAATTTTTACATTTTAAGCAATTATTTTTTTAATTTTGATTTTGTTTTCTATTTTATTTTACTTTCTAAGTTTATTTTAATATTTTTCTGTAACCATAGAAAGCTGTTGCTTTCATTTTTTTTTAATTTTCGATTTTTTTTTAAAATACCTAATCTCTAATAATATTTTAATCTAATAATGTTTGTTGTATAAAATAAAAAATAAAAATAGAAAAAATAAAATAAAAAATTAATGTATTGATAATTTATTTTTAACTAAATGAAAAACTTAAATGAGCAAAAATAAAATTTAAAAATAATTTTTACCAGATTTAATTGTACCATTTATGTTAACACCTAAACCAAAAAATAAGAAATATATAATAATTCAGTTTGTAAATAAACATAACCAATAGAATTTTATTTATAAGTTAAAAAAATAAAATCTTTGTCAAAATAGAATTTACAATAGTTAAAAAGTTTAACAACAACATTGATTTAAGAAAATAAAAAAACTCATGCAGCATTATAAAACATAAATGTATATTTATTTGTGATACGTTGGTACAAGATTTATTCAAGAGTTATTGTAAAGTGAATAATGGCTCTATAATTAATATCAAGAAATTTAAATATTTTATAATACATTCAAAAGTATATTTTTAGTAATAAAACCCTGAAAAAACAAAGCACAAATAAAAAACTAAAAAACTAAAAAAAACTTTAAAATAAAAAACTTGATATTAAACATATTTTTAAAGAATAGAGTTACTTTTATACACACAATGTTCATTATTATAAAAAATTACTTTATTTAATTATAACTTTAAGATATTTACACGTATTGCATGTTGATTGACAAAATTGATTCATAACAGGGTCTGTACAATCGAAGCATGCTTCGCTAGGTACATTGTCTTTGCAAGCTAAAAAACAAGTTTAATATTTATTTAACAACACGCACATACATCACCCAAAATAGGTTCGCTTTCATTTATCTTTCATTTAAAATACTCGCAAGCAATTTATTCTTATAAAAATAACTTCATGAACTAGACAAGTTTGCAACTTCTGTGCATGACTTCTGTGCTCAAACAAGTGTGAACTGCATTTGAAAAATTGCTATGACTCTGTGATACATTTGGAGTTATGTACGCCATAAATTAAAAATAAAGTACGTACGCCATAAATCAAAAAAAAAATTGACACCCCCTCCCCCTGTTGTTATGAATACTTTTTAGTTCCCTCCCCCCTTGAAAAGTACATATGCTTTTGAAGTACCCCCCCTCCCTTCTCTTTTCTCTTTATAAATTAAAAAGTTAAAACCTATAGAAAAAAAAAATTATTTAAGAAATTTAAATATTAGGGATTGTCCATAAAGTACACTGGGCATGAGTAAAAATAATATCAAAAAGTGGTGATATTCTTTATATTTCAAAGCGTTCCATTTCATTAAATCAATTGCTCAATACTTTTCAAAAACAATATGAAGTATAAAAAGAATTTTGGAATTTCTTCATATTTCAATTTTTAATTAATTAGCGCAACAACATTCTTACTAAAAAGTAACAAGTTTAAAAGCTAAAGTTTTAAAGTATTGTTAAACTTTAAATATATTTAATTTTGAAATTGTTATGTAAAAAGTATTTTTTATAATTTTTTAAACTTTATATTATAAAAAATGTTTTATAATAAAAATAAGACACTATAAATTATTTTAAAACTAAACAAACAACCCCTGTTTGCATTTATTATAACTTATAAATTTAAGTAGTACTTTAAATAGTCAGTTAAAAATTAGTTTGAAGGCGGAATTACTAAAATAAATAATAGTGAAAAGTACAAAATAATTTACCAAGAAGAAGCAAAAACTATGCCACAAAAAAGTAAACAGAAAGAAGCTAATAAATTGTGGTATAAAGTTAAGCATAAAAAATTGATGTATGAATCAGTTTTAAAAGAACTAACATGAAAAACAATGGAAAGTCAGTTGACGTCTTTTTAGTATAATGTTAAAATATCAAATAATCAGTCTATTGCAGTGAAGCTTCCTCTTATAAACAAAATATCAGATGAGGGACCAGGAGCTTTGTTAACATCCGATGAAGCAGACAAAATAGATTTTGAAATCAATAAAACACTAACTACTTCTTCTAAATTTGATATTCAAAAAAGTCAAAAATCACAAGCCGAAGTACTCCACAACAAGAGAAAATTCAAACTGAAATTTCACAGTTACAAGAGCAATTGTTAACATTGGTAAATGTGCGCCATGCAGGATTGATAACAGACGAACTTAAAATAAAATCAATATTTTTAGAAAAGCAAATAAAAATAAAACAAATCCGTCTTAAAAAAACTAATCACGAGGCAATCTGTCAAAAAAAATGCAGAGCAAGTTTGAAATGAACACTTAATGATATTGTTAATGACAATATCATTAAGTGTTCATTTCCTGCTTAAATTCAAAACTTTCTAAATTCAATAGAGAAAAAATGGAGACAAGCTGTAATTAAAGATCAAACAGATCTTTTTAATGCCATTGTTAACATTGCATCAATAGGAGCCGCTGCTAGCGATCAACGAAGATTGCAGGAGTTAAATTCATATAAGACACTTAATTATTTAAATAAAAACCTACTAAAACTGGGTTATTGTTTATATCAATTTGCAACTTATTTAAGACTGCTGACTAAGCAATCAAACACACTTGAGGGAATACGTCACATTAAAACAGTTCCTATAAAATTGATCAGGACTGCCAATATAGCTTGTGATAGGCATATCGATGCTGGATTTACATTTGCTTACATGCAATACATGGATGAAATTTGTTCAATGTTTGGTCTAGATTCATGCTTTTATTTAAGTCTAGACGACAAAGCCAAAGTATCATTAGGATTAGCAGCTGCAACAAAACCAATTTTAATGCATCTTGATTATCAAGTACATTTGCCATATCATAATTTTTAGTGGCTTCTAGACATAAGCTTATACTGTCTGTTTATGCAGCTTGTATTATTGATCCAAAAAAATTGACTGACACAGTGTCATATTCTGGATCAATGTATATTGCTATTAGATCTATGAAGCATGTTAGCAGCACTGCATTTACTCATGGCCGTGATTTGGAGCGTCTTCAATTGAAAATAAGTTCCACATTTGTACTCACATTTGGACGTCTATCTAACAGGAACTCATGCACCTCATTATTCAGCATATATCAGGGTTAAACGGTGTATGGCTCTGCTGAGTCGAGAGTTAGCAGGATTGGTTTTGCCACATGATTTTGGGACACATCTAAATGCATCTGGAAAAACAATTTATGTTAATTTAGAAAAAAAAAAATTTAAATCTGAAGAAACTCAAGCTGAGATATAGTCGGATATAGTAAATGATAACTATTCTGTTTGTGCTGAATATGTTGAACCTTCCCAACTGTCACCAATACCAGAGCAAGGTTCAAAATGGATTGCAAATCACATAAGACAAAGCCAATATTTTTTAATGATTATTAAGTGTGATGTTCTGAATTGCTGTAAACCTTGGCGAAGTTCCTTGAAAAAATATTTTCCTAAACATTTTTTACCAGGTCCAGTTGTAATGTCTTATGCTGCTGAATGAATTTTTATTCCTGAGCCAAAAGTAGCACGAAATATTCCTAAACCTTACTTTTCTTCTCTACCACAGCGCTTGTGATATATAGGTTCAAATGATGGAAGCTTCTTCTAACTTTTACTGCCCATCATTTTCACAACAAAAAATTGATCAGAAAACTTGCAAAACCTGCAAAATTTATAACGCTTCTAAAGCAAGTGTTAAGCGTCACAAATGCGTTTTTGGAATCATAATCAACACTACCTTTGAAGAAAATAAAAATGATGATGAAAACAATGATACTCATCAATTAACAGTAAATGAAAGTAATTCTGATCAAATTTATGTCATCAAAAACATATTTGATTAAGTAAAATTACTCTTTGATTTAGATCACCAACAATTTAAATTAATTGATTGATGAAGACTATATTAATAATTTTGTTTATAAAATATTAAAACAATGTTTTGAAACCCTATAAAGATAACAGTTTGTTTTTTTTAATTTATGATTACTTAAAAAATTTTTATCACCCTGCCCTTAACCACAACCTATAATTTAAAGGTGCCAAACAAACATTCTCACCAGTTAGCTGATTTTGAAAGTTTGTTTCCTGTTTGCCAGCAAAAGCGCTTAAAAATCAACTACACAAATCTTTCAACAAGTCTTTTTTGTTTTTTTTTATGTAATTGATTTTTTAAATGATTGCAAAGTAATACAATTCACTGTCACCTTGATGTTCAGAGTTAAAAATTTTCAAACACTAAATTGATTGGTTGCATTTTTTTAGCTGAAATACTTTTCAAAAATTTATAACCTCCAGTTTTCTGTATTTTCGTATTTATATAAGTCTGAGCACAGATGTGTCATTATTCGCAGGAGAATAATGACCTCGCAGTCATTATTCTCCTACTTTAATTTTGATACAACAGCATAGGTATGTAAAAAACTGTGACATTGTTAAGATTTTAAACGAAATTTCCAGACAGGAGATTAGCAAATCGTATTAAATATCGCAGGCAAATCCAAAAACTGTGCATTATCATTAAAATTTTCCCTATTCCTAAATAACTAATAAACATAACCAAGCATCTGAGATGTTACATTTATATAATGCTTTAATCGATTACTATAAGGTACCAAATAAACATACCTGCCCGTTTATTTGGAACTAAAAACCCACAACATTTTTACCAAGCCCATTAAAACTTAATACGTTTTTAATGTTAAATTTAAACTTCTTTTACTAATTTTTAAGTTCCTTTAGTAAAAAGAACTTTAAAGTTTCAAAAAAAATTTTAATCTTTTTTAAGGACAAGTATACTTCTCTCCCTAACTGTCATTTCATACTGATGGTCATGGTTTTATTTTTTTGAAAAAAGCTATTTATTTATTATTATATTTAAAAAATTATTTATTTATTATTATATTTAAAAAATTATTTATTTATTATTAAATTTTAAAAAAATTATTTATTTATTATTACATTTAAAAAACTACTAATTTATTATTATATTTAAAAAATTATTTATTTATTATTATATTTATTAAAAAACATTGAGTTATAGTTAAGTATTTGTTAGTTGTGATAAGTTAGAAAACGTATTTTCATATTCAACCACTAACCCCCCACCCACCCCACCATATGCTTTTGTACGCTTTTTAAAGACCCCTCTATGAGTGTGCGTACCTTATGGACAACCAATTTCTTAAAATCTTTACTGTTATATTAAATAATATTTGAGAAAAACTGTCAAAAATCAATAAAACTTATAACTTCTGAGAGATTAAAATTTATCTGCAAAAATTTTCATTTTTCCATTCGCAACTCTGAGGAGATTGTTGACACATACCTTCAATGCTGCATATAATAAAATTATTTTAGAAACAACTGTTTGACTAAATCTTGAAAACTGTTAACTTGAATGGTGGAGTAGCTATTGAAAATTTCTTTTAATAGCAATAAATTGAATAATGGGACAAAACAGACTGGCAAAATTTACTTTGGGCAAACCAATCCTATCTTCTTGCTTTTGAAACAAAACAGATCTATGTACAATAAAGACCAACTAAAAAATTCTATTCAAAGTGTATACAATCTAATGTCAAACATGGTAGAGGTTCAGTAATAGTGAGGGGCTGTTTTGCTTCTAATCAAGTTATTAATCTCGCTAAAGTAAATTGAGTTTTTGTTAAGAATGGGTATCAGTATAAATTATGTAGAAATTAAGTATGGTGTGGTAAGCATCTAATTTAATCACAGGTTCTCCATGCAACAAGATAATGACCCAAAAGCACAAATTCAAATGGTTTACAAACTATTTTCAA